ATTGGAGGATTACCGTTGGAGGGGTTAGTTGTCTCTGAGTCGGGGGATGGGGGTGGGTCAGGGGGATGGTGGGGCTAAGAGGGTGATAGGGAGGAGATTGGAGGATTACCGCTGGAGGGTTAGTTGTCTCTGAGTCGTGGCTTGGGGTAGGGATCGGGTTAAATATCGAGTAGATGGGATATGGAGCATAGGTTCCACAAGTTTGTGGCCTATTAATTCCAAATTAACTCAATCATACTTATGCTTGACATTTTGTAAAGCAAATTTGCTGCTGAATATTCTCAACAAAGGCTAGTTCCAAGTCTTTCTTCAGTTTAGAGAAGTACAGTGTATGTACTGCAGTACAACTGTATGTTCTCACCTCGATGGTTGCGTATCATTATGTTGTCTTTTGCCTCAGGTGGATGAGGAGAGATTGGATGGAGAGAAGCAAGGCAAGTCCAAGAAGGAGATCACGACCCATGTGTCCATCCACACACTTCACCTGGATGGACTGAGGGAGCTCCATCGCCACTTCTTGCGCCTGCCTGATGGTGCCATAGTAGAGGTATGTAAGGGCGCCCTCTATTGTCTTACACCAGCAGGCAGATCAGATTTATAAATCTGGGCCAAATTTCTTAAGGCATCCAAGTATTTTGGATATTTAGGTTCTTACCAAAATCAGCAGAGAATGAGTTAGAAGGCAATGCAATTGCATGACTTCCTGGCTTGTAATATGTTTTTGCTGAGAAAATATTTTTGCACTGAGCAAAATTTTATACTCAATGTCATGGAACTCTTAAGCTAGAAAGCACCACTTATCAAAATGTTGCAATAAGCAAAAGTGAGGGTAAAATAAGTCACCTGTGATATATTTTGCATGGCACCTTGGTGGTAACCTGGTTTCTTAACCCCTTGACGACGGGAATTTCTTCCCAAAAGCCAACTCCAAGAATTCCAGCCTCGCTTAGCCATGAAGGCCACCCGCCAAACCGCTGATTCTCGGTTGGTGGCCCTGCGTGTGCACGCTTTGAATTACGTGCTGAATAGACTTATTGTTCGGTGGCATGTGGCTCTACTCAAGCTTCCACAGTCCCGTTGCCTCTTTTCAAAGTGGGGACTATTGTGAAGCTGGTGATTATGATGCAAAATCGGTCTTTTCATTTTTGGGCTATGCACAAAGACCAATTACCATATATACAAGAGCCAGGGTCTGGCTTCTTTCACCGTGTTCGCTCGAGCGTGGGCCAAGAATAATAGCTGAAAAGCGGGCTGAGGATGTCAATTTTTATAGCGGCTCTATCCGCGTCCCGGCGCGAAGGGGTTAAGCCAATATTTTCTTTGTTGAACAGTTCTGTTAAGTTTGCAACTGTTTGTAACAGCTTCATGAACTTGTAACAAGTTGACAAGTTTAATATGTAGGAGGAATAAAAACTATGCTAGTTGTTCCTTGTTAGGGAATGATTACATACAAATACTGGCAGACTAGATGACGCTAGCTTATGTATGAAGTCTGTTTTCTTTCACAGGCTGAGTTTTACTTTGCATTAGAGAGCGAAGCTAGTGCTTTGTTTTGATGTATTGTTCAGTTTGAATCCTTAAGAAATGGGTGGAAAATGTCACGAGTTCTCCTTGATTTGCAGTGTGCAAGGTTCTTGTAAAGGCATTGTCTTAAAAAGCTCTTCTAGTTACTTGCAACTGATTTTTCTAGGTTAAGTCACATTTTGTCTGTACTCTGTTTGTGACAGGTGTTTGGAGAGATGGGTGTGGTTGGTCTCGACAAGGACCTGAGAACAGCTCTACAGAAGGGCCCCTCGGGTCAAACCAATGTGGGATGGGACAGGATGGGATCCACCGACACCCTGCGCACCCGCCAAAGGCCCAAGACCACAGGTGGCTTTGGCTCGCGCGACTTCCTGGACATTCCACCTTCCCCAGGGGCGGGGCCTGGGCAGTTCGCGTCACGGGAGTCGCTGCAGTCACGGGGCAGTGGGGGATCACTGCTGAGTGTGGGCAGGGATCTGGGGCAAGAATCCAGGGCATGAATTAACAGACCAACTCAGCAAGAGACAAACCATCAAGAAATCTAGAGATACAGGTGTATAATGATTCTGTGGGACTAAAGGGGTTTTTTCTTTCACCCATCAATGAAATGAAGGGTCTTTTTCCAAATCTCAGCTTTGTCTCCAATTATGTTCCACAATCATTCTCAAATTATTGACCATTGCAGCCACATGAACATATATGCATTACTAGCTTTGGTCTCACATTAGACAATGTGGAATTTCTGTTCTTGTATCGTACATGTAAAGAATCTACCAACTGTAACATTTCACTTTGGCAGTGATAAGAACTACAGTCAGTAACTCTACATACTTAAAGTCATTTTTCATGTTTTCTTTGAAGGTTTATTGTACAGGCTCTGAGAATTTTATTTTTAAGATTATCGGAGAGGATTTTTAATAAATTTTATTATTAATTTTTAAAGATCAATATAGATCAGTTGATGGTTGAGTTTTTGTGAATAAAGGTGCACCCCGAAGCTCGCTGGAATTTTGCTGAAGGGATGAATGCTTAGAATGGGAAGGAAACAGTTCATTCCCAAATGTTTATGTCTTTCACTATCAGATCAGTGTTTTAGTGGGCTGCATCTTTCAATTTATCCACAGAGAAGTCACCTTTTAGACTTTGATATGTTGTGATATGTTTGAAAACCAAGTCATTTAAATGGTGTAAAAATTCAGAGTAATTTTGATCAGTGTGTGTTTAATTTTGGGGAAGTGTTTTATAAGATATGTGTAATTATACATCTCATGGCATATTTTTATCCGTAGAGTGAGTTGAATATATTTGGAAGACACTAAGATACCTTTTTGGCAGCTTTTCAGTCCGTCCATTAGTTTTTAGATGACATTTAAATCTTGAAAGACACTCCATCCTCAAAGTAGGAAGGAACTTGACAAATTACACAGGATTGTGTTGTGATGTGTGAAGGTAATGTAGAACAAATAATGTTATATATTCAGAAGCATAGTTTGAAAGCCGTCCATTGTGTTGATGCTGAAATGGTAACGATTTTGAATTTGGAGTGATCATTTGTACCAGTCAATCATCAACAAAGTAGTTTAAATAGCACAGTTGAATCTAAACTGAATAAATGACCAAGCTAATGGAGCAAATGGAGAATATTGAACCTGTTTTCTGTACTGTTTGAAATTTTGCATGCATACATTAGTCACATTTGATTGGATTCAATACATGTGAGGTTGACCCTTGACATGCAGTGATGCATCAGGGTTGTCTGGTTAAAATAATATGTGCAGGCTCGGATGCTTAAGAAAATGTGAGAATCTTTAAAAACTATCTTACTGTTCAGAAAGCAATTCGGCAAACCAGAAAAGCATGACAGCTTTCATAAAATGAAAGTTTATCTAACTTAACTCCATTCATTACATTTTGGTTACGGGCAACAAAAGTGATATTTTTTGGACAAATTCAAATAACAGCGGATCTTGCCACTTGAGGATAATTTGAAGTTTAAATTCTGAATAAACAGAAAGAATAAATGGGCACAAAATGAATGTTAATCAAAACAAAAGCTCCAAAAATTTCAAGGATATAATTCTTATCCAAACTACGTTTTTCTTACATGGAACTAGTATTGGACATGCTAGCCAGAAAAATCAAAATTGGATCAGATTCAGTAAAGATGCAAATCTTGAGCATGGTGACGGCTGTTTTTTTCAGATATCTTCTTGTAATGTGGGATCGACTCCAACATAAACGTTTTCTTCAATCCCACATTTGTCAGCCCTCAGAGAATCCGGAAAGACCTGAAGAAATAAGATATGGAGGCCAAACAAGGCCGAGATTGTAATGGTTGAGGACCAGCCTGTGATAGAGACTAAACCGACCATACAGGATGTACCATTTGAGGATTTGGGTGTGGAGAAAGTTTCAACTACGTGTTCATCAGCGAAATTGTACAAAACCATGTCTTAATTAAGAAATTTGTTTCAACTGAAAAAGTCCTCTTTTTATTTACTCATAAAGAAACAAAAAATTTCAAACACAAATTGTATTCTCCAGAGTGTGATAAAAATTGACAAAGTTTTATTTTGCATGGTTTTGGGACTCGAATTGATTGTGTTGTATTTTAAGGTTCCTTTTTAACATGTCTTCCAAACCAAAAAAGGTATTTTTGAAATCACAGGACGTAATCTTGCGATTTTTTACAGACTAAAACATCTTTCCTCTGATACCATAGGTTGTGTATTTCATGTGTCATAGCACTTACATGCATTTTTTTAATCAAAACTTTAGGAGTGTAGAAAAGCCCTAAATTGTGTGGCCAAAAAACAGAGAACATGTAATTACTCCTTGTTATGGTACTTACATGTACAAGAGGTTGCATGGTGTACAATCTTCTGATTATATACCTGTGAACAGGCACATCAGTGTACCCAAATCTAACATTGAGTTCATATCATTCCACTACCTCAAACTGTACTGATTGTCATGATTATTTATGGTTTGTTTTGTAAGATTATTTGCTTTGAGATTGTCTCCTTCTCAATGTCCTGGTTGCCTACTGTACAAGTGAGTTCACCCTTCTTAAGACTGGTGTTGCTTTAGCCATTTTCAGTTGGCTAGTGTTAGCTAGTTATGGAAGTGTGTCGCTGTCAACGCGAAATTTTTTTTATCTCATTTGAAAGATAAAACGATGACTTATCTCATTTAAATGGCTTATTATCTTGTTTAAATGACACTGCTATCACACACACAACACTGTCGCATTTAAATGAGATAGCTCTGTCATTTGCAACGTCACGCTTGCAACGTTGTGATAGCTCGGCGCAACAACAAACCAGACAGTATCCACTTTATTGGTGTGATGTTGTTGAAAGTTAAACCAAGGCCACTTTCACACACATAGCTGGCAATTTTAGACAATGGACGCTCATCACAACTGGGCATGCTGGACATGGTCATTAACAAAGTGGCTGCTTAAACCCATCCAGCCGTCAAAGAAACTGATTTGTATCTCAGTCTAATAAAACCTGTTTCCATACCAACTCCCAAGAAAGTAATTTGCGACTCACAGCTAGTAATGCGCCTCCATGCCAACCTCTGGTCCCTGCTCCAGCTGTTTGATTTTTACTGTTTCTAAATTTCACCTTCATGAACGTGTAGGAGACGAGCAGCGCTGCATCTTGAAATCAGGCACTGATGTCTGAGCAACACTGCTGAAGTCTCATGTTTCCAGATTTAAAAACGCAGACAACCCTTAGGCATGTGATGAGATATCCTTTTTTATTACAGGTTTTTGCCCAACACCAACATATGTTCATAACACTGTATACTCAGTGCTTGTCTGAGAGCTTGTGAAAAAAATTCGCAAACTTAATCGGGTGGAACTCGAACCTTTGACCTGCTTATTGGTTCACACGTCTTAACCACTTCTCTTTTACAAATCTTGGTAAACTTGTCTCCCTCTCAAACTTGATCTTAACAGTGTTGTAGTGCTTTTTTATACTGTTACTCATACTCATGATACTGTATCTTACCCACACTCAGACTTGTGACAAAGTACTCTAGAGTTAAAATATTTATACTCATATCCACTGTGTGGTGTTTTATTCTTGGCATTGCTGAAGCAAATATAGTAGTTAGGTACGTAATCATAGTGAAATATCTTTCTAGTACTCATGGTGAAATACTTGTACTGATGGTAAAATGTTCAGAAAAGAGAAACAGTTGAAAACTTATTTTGTTGCTCATACCGTAATTTGGTAAAACAGAAAAGCCAACAGGCTCTAATTTTAATAAAAAGGAAGATTATTTAGATTAACTCCATTCATTTTGTTGATGTGCATCAAAAGTAATCATTTATTTGGACAAATTCAAACAGCAATGGATCTTGCCAATTGAGGAGAGCTTTAAAATTACATTTTGAATAAACAGAAAAAATAAAAAAGGGGCACAAAATGAAAGTTGCTCAGTAACCAAAGGTAAAACCTTGCTTATGCAAAATAAGTTTTCTTATGAAAAAACAAAATTTAAAATACTGGCCAGAAAAAGTCAAAATTTGATCAGATTTCATAAATAAGCAAATCTTGAGCTCAACTTAGCAACATCCTCTCATAACAAAGGTACTCCAGCATACACGTCCTCTTCAATCCCACATTCATCAGCCCCTTGGAGAATTCTGAAAAACCCTAATGAAACAAGAAGTATGCTGATCAAAACATTCTGCAAACACTGTGATTTTCCATACTTCACAATCGAAACTTTCAACTCATCAATTTTTCTACTGATTATTAAAAAAATTCTAGGCATTAATCAACATAAAGCTGAATTAAACTTATTGAAGGAAATTCAATAATGCTACAGAATCTGGCATTTCATCAAACTTTCCAACTCACCTTTCTCACCCCAGTTCTCATTCCAAGAGTTGGCTGCTTGCCAGTACTTTACTCCATCTGATGTAACACCCCAACCATACAACTTCACTGAATGTTTGTTGATAAACTTTCCTATAACATGCTGATATACACCTGCCAAAATTAATATTCCAAAAGTAGAATGGTTCAAATAAAAATTCGATTAGGAAACAAGAAATTTTAACTGGAAGCTGGTTCAAACTTGGCACAAAATGCGATGAACTACTTGCACTATATGTTTGTAAAAGTTGAACAAATCTTAGTGTGAGCAGACTTCTTGGTGAATGCTTTGTCAGGTCAAAACAACAGCTCTATTTTGTAACTTGGAGGGATTGATGATATGAAAAGAACCCCTGTAGTTTTTAAGTAGCTTCTTAAAAAATTCATCCCTCTGAACACACTTGTGTATGAAGTTCTATCAACTGGATTACCTGACTTGTAGCTGAGAAAGTCCTCAAAGATGTCCATTGATGCTTCCACAGGGCCAAAGTGCATGATTTCCTCTTCAATCTGCAACACGTTATTCATGACTGCATAGGCTGATTTTCCTACACGGAGCAAAGGTCAAAGGTCCCAAACTTGTTTAATCTAGGGAAATCGAACTTGCATCAAAGGGGAGAACATTTGCAAGGATGCAACATATGACTAGTTGGTTGGGACCCTCGACCCTTTGATCACAGGTCAAAACTCTAACATGAGAAAGACATGCTGTTTTTCTAACAGTAGATTTTCCAAGATAGAAATGGATTTTCTGGACTCTTGCTGATAATTTTTATCTTAAAGGATGCTTCACCCATCAAGCAGGTGTTTAACTTGTACTGAAAGCAATGTACAAGTATGCTGTAAGTTACAAGTCAAAATACCGGATCCCCACCAAACAGAAGACAACAGAGGCAGGCAGGGGAAAGGAAACAACCAGGAACGAGTAACTAGGTTCTTTTTCTAACTCAATCTTACCGAAATGCAAGTCTTCTGAATAGCTCTTATTGTACCCCTTCCTACATTCTGTCTGGCATTCGGGGGTCTGCACCATTGGGGCACAAGTTGGGGCTGAATCCTCCTCAGCTGAGCCCTCGCTAACATGCCTGCAAGGCTGGAACGTGTAAGGTTGACAGCCTTGTGAAGATTCGAACCCCCCTCCGGTCACAATACCAGCCTGGACCCAGTAGTGCCAAGCAGCGGACGGATAACCCCCTTCGCAGCTGGTTTAAGATGAAAAAATTTATCAGGGGATCAACATTGCAACATTTGGGCTACATTATTTTATTTTCTGGTTGCTCTTATATTTACCAACTTACGACAGGCTAAACGCAGTCATACCGTACTAAAAAAGCTCTAAGTTACTGAAATTCTAATCTGTACAAGGCAGGCATTAATAAGTTATCTTTTGATATCCCTTCAAGCACAAATTCACGGATAGAGACGTGTAACAGGGTGATGCTTGGGTTGGGTGTGGTCCTTTGCGGTTCAGCTGTTCCGTGGAGCATTAATGAGGACTTTGATGTGATGTATTACAGATAAACTGTCTGTGATTTGTTCTCTCGTTACCTTGGGCTTTATTGTCTTGATTTGTATGGCTCACACTCATTGGCTCCATCCCCTAGGTGCTACCTAAACTCTGCACTAAATTGTACTCAATTAATTTGAAAGCCTGTTTTTAGAACATTTTGTCAGTCCTGTAGTTTTTATACATCATTTACAAACAGTTGTTGAGTAATCCATTTGATTGTTTCTATGTGCCAAATACTGTAATATTAAAAGAAACTCACTGATCAAAGTTACTGCCTGTAGAGTCCAAAATCTAGTCTGACATTCGATTCTGCTTACCCAAATCCACACTGCAGGCCACAGCAGGAGATGAGGTTCTCTGCCGACAGAGTAACATTGAGATTTTTCATCTTGGAGAAGATGCAGTAACGATCTGACATGGCCTCCAAAGCCCCAAAAGCCTAGCATTGAGGGAAGTCAGAGTACACATTAAACTTAAACCATGGCCTATCCTTAACGAAATGAATCGCATGTCAAAAGAATTATTTTTGAGTCAAAGGCTTTTAAAAGAATCCTGCACAATGTAAATCAGAAAGAACTCTCAACTTTTTTTACCTGTACAACGTCCATTTTCATCCAGATACCAAATGACACTGGAAACGTTTGCCGTGTCGAATGCAGTGCATCATAAAAATTTAACAAAAGGATCCTACAACATGGCCCTATGACTCCTTTTGTTAGATCTGACCACAAAACAATTCTCCATGAGAAAGTTCATTTGACTTTCTGCTAGTGACCAAAATTCCAAAACTTTGCAGCAAACCATTCTTTCTACAGCTGACAGCTGATCTTCACATGACTGAATCCTACAGAATCTTTTAAAATCCTACTCTTCGACTTGGAATGATCTAAGAGGGTCAGAACTAATAGTGTGCTGGAACAAAATGCTTCCTGAATCAAAGTTCCATCAGTACCCATCCCGCTCCGCATGCCCCCTGGTCAGATATCCTCCTCATGGACAAACATTCCGGCCATTTCTCCACGGCATCAAAACTCTTGGGAATCTCCTTTGGGTTCAAATCTGATGGTGGCTTCATTGGTAACCTCCGGTCAGGTGGGGTGGAGGTTGTCAGCTTGTTCCCGAGAAGAAGTTTGACAAATGACCTTTGGTTATTACCTTGGAAGTTCAATCCAGCCTTTCATTATACATAAAAGAAAAGAAACAAAAACATTTGTACATCATGTTTACTTGGCAATTATCCTCATAAAGTCAATACTAATAATGATGTACTGTTATTCAAAACTACTTTAACTGTAAAAAACTTAACCTGAAATAATTCTATCTGAAATGTTGATGAAAAAATATGCTTTTTCTGTAATAATATGTATAATGTTCTCCGCAGTCCAAAAAGTTTACACTTGTTTTGTTAAATTTTTCAAACAAAATAGTGCAGTGAATAGTTTTGAGTTTTCTAAATTCATTAAGCCAAAATGTGATCTTTTCTGCAATTTCTTTTTACAATGTCATGAAAAGCTACATCAAGCATACTCTTAAATTCACCTTCCAAGTTGTGTTGAGGTTATTTATGTAACCGACTATCTCCTCCAATAAGGCAGGCAATTGACCAAAAGAAGGAGGGCATTCCCCTGGATACCAGTCTCCATGGCAATCCAACAGAATTTGACCAATCAGAAAGTAGTACAGCAGGGCATTTGCCATTTTAAATCAGCAAATCTACAAGTGGCACTGCAGAAGAGAAATACTCGTAAGAGTACAATTTTTGATCCATTTGGAAACACTTTTTCAATTTTTCATCATAATTAAATATAATGCTCCCTCCCTGCTCCAGTGCAGTGTTTTGGAAACATTTCCGATGCAAATGTAAACTTTATGCATAACCAATACCCAATTATACCCCAGGGTGAGGTTCTCACATGATGGGTCTGTTTGTTTTAAAATCATGTGGATATCCATCAGTGATCCCGAGGCTGGTTTGCTCCATCCATTAAACTGCTTCAGTGCTGTCAGTGAACCAATGGCTGATTGCTGATCGAGATCAAAGTGAAATAAACAGGCCCTTAGTGCACGAGAACATTCACTCGTTAGGCGTATGCCAACTAGAAGAATGTTACCCACGTACAAATAGTCAATTGTACAAACACAAAATTGTCTGTCTGAAACTACCCAACCATAACTCATGATCAGGTCAGATCTATATAATCAAAGGGAATTTACTTACACAGATCTGTTCGTCTAAAGGTGAAAACAAGCCTGATTGCATGCCTGCCAGTTTGACAAATGAAAAAATAACTTGCCTGGTTGCCAAATACTTCAACCTGCCTCCCCTTCGGTAGGGCAAAGGACAGGTTCAAAGTTCACACACAGTAGTTTATGTTTTGATAAAGTTTATTTAGATTAAATGCATGCCCAAGGAGATCGGTACAAACATTAAACTACCTAGAGTAAACTAGAAAGCAGACATCTTTTCATAATTCAAAGGTCAAAGGTTAAAAGTTTATTCTTATACCAGTCAAACCATGTGACAGTCACATGACACAGGTTTCAATCCTTCATCACTTTCCAAATGGACATTGCACAAGAGTAACATGCTTTAATTTTGACATACCGAACAAAACTTCTTGCAAATAATATTTTAAGTTTATTACTGTTGCAGGAATTTCAAGATTTTTTCTGGCTGAAAACTTGTCATGTGGGTGTTTCAACCACTTTGACCAGCATACTGAAACTTAAGATTAGTTAAGATAAATTGCATTTGAACTTAAACCAATCTGTGATAAGACTTTGAGATGTACATGCACTCATTACATAAAGACAGCATTCAGTTCCTACTAGTTGTGAGCTTGTACACGTCACATTGAACAGCCTTCTCCATACTGAATTCTCTGGCCACGCCCCTTTTGGGCCACTGCTATTTTATACACCACAGTTTTATGAGTTCACAGTCACAGTCTAACTGGTCCATTATGTCAGAACTTTTTCACAGAGTCTTCAGGAAATCATTGTACACTTCGATGGAGGACTTTGCAATGTCTTGACAGAAGACGGCATCTGGCACCTTTGAGAGGTGTTCGAGGGCCACGTAGCCAGGCTGGGTGGGGTCGTACTGGGCGCGGCCAAGCAATTTCAGGAACTGTTGTAATTAAAAATACATGTTGATTAAAACATTTACGACACCTCTTGGAAATCAAAATCCTTTTTTTTGTTTCCTTTGCATGGTGAGTTGCACTGTACAGCCAACTCAATTAACAAAAAAAACTTCAGGTTGACAAGTCAGTGATTTCCCTACAGTAAGGAAGTGGACTCAACCAACCTGATGCCTTTCCTGTAGCTTGAAGGCTCTTCCATTGAAGACCTGGGGGTTCTTCACTATCTGCTTGTGAGGGATGCCCATGTGGTTGTGTAGGTAGTCAAACACACCAATCAGCTTCTCTTTGCCTTAAAAATAAGTCCCAAAACTGGACAGTTTACGCATGTACCTTAGTTTATTTAGTAATTGTTTTGTGTTCTAAATAGCACACACGACTATTTGAAGGTAAACTAGAATTCTAAATCACCCTGCCATTGCACAAAACATCCCTTCTGCAAAATTCTACACCTGTTTTCTTTTAATCTTAAAATTCAAAGTGAAAAATAACAAAATGCTAACCTCTAAGGAGGAGCTTTGGTTCGGCCAGAACAAGTTTCTTGAGTTCAGACGTTGTGAACCCAAGCTGCCGACGAAACACAAAGATGCTTTCCTTGACTCGTTGGATCTTGAAGGTCACCAACTGAAAAAATTGCCAGACAAGTGACTGCAAGTCTGTACACATTCAGTTGAAAACTGGCCGTAACCTGCTCAAGCAGTTCTTATTTGCAATACGACCAGCATGCACATGTCATTTTGTATGCATTCCCCTGAAAACTAGTAAACAAGACATTAACTTTGATTACCTTAGGTGTTTTGGTGATAATATGTCTAATTTCATCTCCAGTCAAGCTCAACTCTTTCTGATAAAATCCCAACTTGCTATCTAGGCGGTCAACCTGTACAACACACAAAAAAGACAAACATAAACAAACTTCCTCAAAGGAATGGGTAATTCTTCCCATTTACAGCCACAGGTCTTCAGTTTCCATACTGATACTTTTTTACCAGGCTGAGTTGGACTTTTAGAAAAATCTGGAAAAAAACCCCCCACTAAATATGTTGGTTTAACCAAGTTTGGTGATGGGCCTAGCAAACTCCCCCCATGGTACATGCTAACTTCCTATAGTAAGTACATGTATCTGTACTGAAAAAAAATGGATTTATTGCAGAGATCTTCATACCGAGAAACTTAAGAAGTAAGGAGCTCTGGTCAAGACTTGGGTGATAGCATCGTCCGAAAACTTCTTCGATCGCAGGTACCTCAACCTCGTCTCCAGATTCTCCAGGTCCTCGGTCAGCACAAAAGGGTTGATGGTCAAGAATCGGCCCAGGGACTTGCTGGACGTTACTCCTGCCGAGTCCAAGAGAACAATCTTATCCTTGATGTCCCTGTCAAAATCCATCTTGATCAGTGCATTCCCGATCTTGGCCTTCTTCTCGACCTTGGACAGGTCCACCCCGAGCTCAGTTAGCTTCTGCAGAGTGGGGGAGTGGTCAGCATATGCAGCCAGCGATAGTGATTCTGTCGGGAGTAATGGCTGAATAAATTCTTCCAAAACCGTCGGGGACTCCCGCTCGGCAAGAATGTCCACTGTACCCCAGTCACGATCCAATTCATTCTCATCAGGTTTGGTCCTGATTACCAAACTGCTAGACACAGTTCTATTAATGTCCTCAGAAATATCAGTGATGTCCTCAGACGTTTCAGTGATGTCCTCGGATGTTTCAATGACATCCCCAGTTTCTGATCCAAAGCGGTGCAGCTTTGAATAAGTTTCTGCCCTTTCCTCCTGGTCATTAACTTCACTTTGTCTGTCCAAAACAACCGTCTCAGTTTCTTCAGTGGGAGATTCAGAACATTTCCTTAGCTGTTTGCCAACAGTCTTTTTCAAAGTTTGTGACTGCAGGTTGTCTTTCTCAGTATCTGTGGTTGATGACACTGATTCCTTATTTTCTTCTTCAGTCTTTGAGTCCGATAACAATCGTTTGTTGAGGAGGCCATACGGTGGTGCCTTGTTTAACCGTAGAAAAGCATCATGCTCAGATCTAGTTGCTCTTTGGACACAAGAAATGCTCCTTAATTGCCCGTCATGCCTGTGGGGATGATATTCATGAAGCTTTGTGACAATCGGCTGGGACATGGTGGGAAAACTGGAGGTGAAACATCTCGGGGATTTCTTTAACAAAGGCCGACAATGGGTACGACTGCAACGAGCTAGAAGTCGGCTGTATGTGCTCGTTGTCAAAAGAATCTTGGTTGCCATGGCAGTGATCTTTCATTCTTCAACCATCGGGCTCAGACCTGTTTTCAAGGATACAAAAAAGCATTGGTTTGATGCCCATCCCTTCATCAAGTGTATGTATTAAGTCGAGACCAGGCACAAGACCATGCACAAGACCAGTCACAGGTAACAGGGTGAACAATGACAAAGGAATGTAAGGGTTGACTTTGGTAAGTTGGCATTGTAACCATGACAACATGCCAGCATGTTGGCTTAATATTACATGTGGTAACTCATGAAGGATTTTGATTCCTACCTGACCATACTTTACCATTAGTCCAAAGACCTAGTCCGACTCTGAGTAAGTTGGACTCTACAAATCGCCTTTTTTAACATTTGAACATGGTCGGCCAATTTATAGTCAAATTCACTCAGATTTCATGTACAAAAGACCACACTTTAAGGCCTTGTTTCACACGGAGCTGGATTTCAATCAGCGGTCCTAAAGCTGGTTCGCTCCTTCCTTAAGTGGGTTCTGGTGTCAGTAAACCAACATTTGATCACTAATCGCGATCTCAATCTGTGTGGAAGAGGCAGGCCAGGTGCAGATCCAAGGGGGGGTGTTAGGGGGTCCAACCCCCACTCTAAACAGAAAAAAAAGGTAAAAAAATGGGGAAAATAGCCTAATACAATAGCTTAAGTGCATCAATACCATGGTAAACAATGCATGTATGTAATGTTTCATCATCATTCCATTTGACTGTGAAAAATTAGACATTAGGGCCTATAAAAAATCTCGAGCCTGATTCCTCACCCCCCAAGGCCCAAAATATTCCTGGATCTGTCCCTATAGTATAATGCTATACAGTACAGGCCTAGCCTTAGTCAGTTTATTTAGTGTCCACAAAATTCCATTCGTTAAATCGTCATCTCGGACTCTTTAACAGCGCGGTATCACGCGACACGTGCAGGATACTTTCACTGTAGTGACAGGCCTACGCATCTGACAGGGAGAATCTTACTGTTTGCGTGATTTGCATCGTGTATCATCTCAAGAATCACATGTCGTTTCACCTCCACATGTTGAGCAAAAGTGAGGATATGACCTTCGACATTTAGGGGACTATACCAACCTAGAATAGGGCCTCCGCTATGGGTTTGTTTAATTTTTATTATTATATATCACACGAATTCATACTTTCCTCCAAACACACTACCATTAGATAAATATTATTACAAAATTACTAAATTTTACCATGTAAAATGATAGGAAATGTGTAAAGTTGATGTAATATTTTCTCACTTTACTTCAAACACCCCTACATATCTAATGGTAACGTTAATACACTCTCGCCATATCGCACGATTCATGTGTGAATATCACATGTGCAACATGGCGGTGACAAAGCGAAACCATCGGCGTTCGGCGTCCGAAATAAGTGATCATTTTCGCTTTATCAACGAGCAAAGCGTGGAAGATATCACCCTAGAATTTTTCTACAAGCCACACACACTCACCCTCCTCGTAGGTGCGCTTGCAGCCACAATCTATTTTGCGTTTACAAAGTAAGTTTTACTGAATACTGTTTTGACATTGCCTAACGTTAGTCAACTCATGGTCAACTCAATTACATCTGTACATGTATTTGGGGGCGCTGTTCATCAAGTCCGAAACTTAAACTCCACGCCCACATTCTTTTCCATTTCTTGAAAATTGATTATTTTTTAGATCTTTTGGGAAATAGTGGTCTGGTTTATGTATCCAAGCTTTAGCCCTAGAATGGTGGTGTTTGTGAGCTTTGCCGTCCACATCTCATTTTTGACTGCTGTGTTACTTATACCGCTTGACAGTAGGCCTATCCTCTTCTGAACTTCTGAAATTTAGAACACGTTTCTTTGGATAAATTCCTCAGTCTCAATGTAATGAAGACAGAGGTGTGACATAACAATTGTTGACTGCTGTGATGTGAGATATGATGATATGAACACCTGAGGGATACATACATGTAGCGCCCCAAGGCAAAGCCGAGGGCACTATGCGTGCCCGTCCATTGGGTGTTTAAAATGTCATATCCCACATCACAGCAGTCAACATTTGTTTCATAATATGCAAACTCGTGCTCATAGTTGGTACGTCTGACAACTGAGTGTGAGTGGAGGTTATAATGATTTATCAGAATTCTGAAATGTTAATGTGGGATTTTCTTAAATTTAGTCAAGCATGCCATGTTATACGGAATGCTCAGTTGAATTTGTATCTGTTACGCCCCAACTATAGCATAAGTCCTAACTATTGTTGGGACAGTCCCAACTGTAGTGCTGCAGTTGGGCTGGCCCAACTATTGTTGACCAATGTCTGTGGAAAATGTCTCAACATTGTCCAAGTCAATGTGTCTCACACTTGACACAGTTCATATAAAATGTGGCACTTCATCTGTTCATCTAGCCCTATGACCAATGACATGACTTTGGCACATGCTGGGCATGGCACATCATGCACACAGGACCTCTCTGCTGTAGTTTGGCCGGCCCAACTGTGGCACTCTAGTTGGGACGGGCCCAACTATAGTTGGGACTTATGCTATAGTTGGGGCGTAACATATCCAATTTCTGGCTCCACTGTTTTTGAATCAGACTAAATAACAACACAGAAGTAGTTAAGAAAGATTCAACATCTTGGACATGTGTTATGAAAGTACAGTAATAGTACTGGTACTGAATGAATTGGAAGTTTTTAATCAGGAAAGTTGGGAGAAACGTGACAACTCATGGGATCCACTTTATAGCTGTACAGCATTGGTCATATACAATAAGTGATGTGAGGTACCAGTCTGTGTAAGATGTTGAATTCCACTTGGCCATCCAGGCATTGCAGTAGCCCATTCAAGCACACACTGTTTAGTGGTTTGAGGACTGTGATGATCCCAATTTTTTTCTTCCCAATTTTCAGTTCTTTCTTTTCGTTATTTTTCCAGTCAGATTCAGTTTTTCTTTTGATAAACCTGAATGTTTTCTTTTTTCCTGTTTTTGGTTGATTCATACCTTGGAGTGTTTTCTTTAAAGGGAAGTTACCTCTGAGATCCGTTTTGTTACAAACTGGTCCAGTTCCTTTTTCCAATGCTGCTGATATGCGCAATACAGGGAGACAGTTAGCAACCATTCCAAGTGCCACTACTATAGTCACTGCAAACTTGTTTGCTTCTTGTTTTTAATTCCTTACATAGAACAAGCGAGGTAGACACCGACAGTAACATTCGGAATGGCCTGTGCTGCGTGGTGTTCTTCTTTATGCTCATCAGCCTCTTGGCCTTTCCAAACGGTAAGTCAAATGAGCAAGATCCAATTTTTAACACTCCCAGGCCTATATTACTGTCTATGTACCTGTTGGCCTATGTTGGAAACTCGGGGCCCCATGGCTCGTGACATAATGAGATTTGCATATTTCACTATGTCATAAGCCATAGGATTGGTTTTTTGGAAGGGACCGTTGTATTCCATTGGTTTTGCATTGAATGCTGTTGAATTTGAGATATTGATTTGGATAATCTTGATGAAATTATTTTTGATGTTGTGTTTCAAACATTCAGGGCCATTTACAAGGCCTCATCCTGCTGTATGGAGAGTTGTATTTGGTAAGTAATCTCATCGTTTGTGTTATTTAAGAAAAGGGATGATCAGTTTTAAATCTATGATTCCCAGATCCTTCAAAATCCATGAAGTTTTGTAAGATCTTGTAGGATTGAGGAAGGTAGTCACAGCCACCATACTTGAATATGCCATTGGTTTCCTGCAGAGTGTAAGTTTTTACAGGTTTGAGGCAGGCATCTAGTCAAACGGCCTTGGGGAGATTTGGTTAAAACATCAGTTTTGAAAGATTCAAGCTCTACAGATGGCCAGACTGATTTGTTTGAGTTCCTTAGCTTCAGGACCCTAAAGCAGTGGCACTGTTAAGGTACATCAGGCATAACAAGTGCATTTCTCATAACGATCATGCAAGAAATTTGTTAGAACATTTCAACTTTCAATAGAATTTAAAAAGACAGTGAGGCTGCAGCTGACCCAGCAGAACCCAGCAGAGAATCTTTGCTTAATACTGCTCCAGAAAACCAAGACTTATGAAGCTTTACCTACCGGTTAGATGTATTGTGTTGTATGTAAGCAGTGAAGGTTTGGGTTTAAAGTATTGCTATTGTTTACCTCATTTTCTTGTCCTTTTGTTTTAGGAGTCAGCGTGATGTACCTATTATTCTTAGTGTTTATATTGTTCCAAAACTACGACGACATCCGACGAATAATGTTCTGGTTCTTCCCCGATCTCGAAGCTCACCAGCCCCATGAAAAAGTGAGTCCAAATATCAAGGTCTCATGAGAACACACTCTCAATCTGATTAGGTTTAAGACTTTTACCTTGATGTACTCTTTGAACAGTTTGTCTGATTGTGTCTATTTTTTGATTGGAAGATACTTTGCATGGTCAGAAAATGTCTGATGTACCGTCACATCCTGTGTTTTTGTTATCATTATTTGTTTGCACAGGAGTATGCTGTCAACTGTTCAGATCTGACCTTTGAACGGCTCTGGAGTCATCTGGACTGGTTTGCCTTCTCACATTTCTTCGGCTGGATTGTTAAAGCAATGATGATTCGCCACTGGGGTATATTGTGGACACTGAGCTTGACATGGGAACTTACAGAGGTACCACCACACAGTCCCTAATATAGCCAATCTTTCCCCTTTGACCTTTAACCTCAAACTGGGATGGGAGTGTTCAACCATCTCATAGGCAAGTAGGAGCAAAGTTGCATGTGAGTTTTACAGAGCAATTGGCAGCAACTTCACAATATCTTCTGTGAATTGTTAGCAGCAGTTAGCGATTTCCCGGCACTGCAGCACAATATGCAATGCGCTTTGGAAATCTGCGATCCAGCTAAAAAAAAATGCATGGTCATATTTAGCAGTGCAGTTTGTAATATATTCCTACAAATGTCTTGGGTTTATTCTAGTAATTTACTTTCTGGTCAATTTCTTGAAAGCAGAGAAACCTCAGTGACAGCTTTCAGCATGCAGTGCCATTAATATTGCACCATTGACACACAATGAAACATATGCCCAAAGAAGTGAATACTCCGCCCCCTTAACTAGATATTACAGACATTGAGAACATTAACGACTTTCAGACATAAGACCACTCCCCCTGTCTTGTTCCCATATTCGAAATGCCAATCTGTCAATATACTTGGACGAAAAAAAATTGCATTACAAATTTGATATCCAATATTTTGGAACAAAAATTCTCACAAAGCATTAAAGTAGATGCACAGTGTCTTTACCTGATTTATTGTCCGTTGATGTCTAAGCACTTTATAATTTTTACCCTGTCCGTTATATAAGGCCTCAAGTCCAATTTTGGGCAGGTGATATCAGCTCACTCCTGGTCAGTATCCTCACAGGTGCCTCTTTATATTCCTGGGTTGGCGGAGGCAAATTACCTTGCCCGAAGACACAAGAAGCAACCAGCTTTCCAATTCGAATCTTTTGACCTTGTCATGGAGAGCCACAAATCCTAACTACCCAAGAGCACACCAGTTTGAATTAAGTTTTGGGTGTCCTTTCATTCTAGTTTGCATTTATTCACCTCTTGCCCAACTTTGCCGAGTGTTGGTGGGACGCACTCATCCTAGATTTCTTACTCTGCAATGGGATGGGCATCTGCCTGGGACTGTACCTCTGCAAGAAGCTGGAGATCACTACGTTTCATTGGGACAGCATCAGGTAGGCCTACAGAGCTGCTAAGCAGGGAAAGAATCTGCTTAACAAAAGTCTTTGGTCCACTGAAATGCCACGGCAAATGTATCACTGTTGACAAGTTCTGTGCTTATTGTTGCTTAGCAAGTGAATGTACTTAATGTTGTGACTGCCTAAATTTGAGCCCTTTGTCACATTTTAGAACCTCCCCATGTAGCAAAATATTTGCTCCTTACAGAGTTATTTTAAACAGAACAGTTTATAGCAAAAAACATGCATAGGTTGCTTTTTAAAACGTGACACAGTAATATGTATTTGAATACTGAGGCATGAACACATGTTGGTTACAAAATATGTTAACAGTAAGTTCTTGTTCCCATCTTTAGATAATTTTCAGAAAAATCATAAACGACCATTTGATGTTGAAATTGAATTGAAATTTGAGTGTTGAAAAATGTTAAGTTTGAAGATTTTCCCACCGACAGGATTTCTGTTCAATTGAATATCATTGCACTTGATTTTCTACCGCTTGTCTGGTTTTTTTAGGGATATACGCTCAGCATCTGGTAAATTAAAGCGTGCTGTACTGCAGTTTACTCCAGCCAGGTAGGAGAAATTAAACCTTGCTAACGTGACCAGTGAAGCACTTCAAAGAATCTTTTGTAGTGTGTTAAAAGCTCTGAACAATTTCTAGCCTTTGATGGGATTTGGGTAATTTCATTGATTTGCACAGCTGGACACAGGTTCGTTGGCTTGATCCACAGTCATCCTACATGCGAGTCATTGCCGTCTACATCATGATTTTCATCACACAGGTGGGTACTTTCTTTCCAAAATAGCTTCAGGTAGACTCATAGACCTGTTATCCTGACATTCTGGAGACTGTTGTTGCACAGTGTTGGATTTGATCTTTGTGATTTTCGGAGCTCGTGAGGAAAAACATCCTAGCCCTAGCTCTAGACGTGATTCAGGTCCAAACTAAACCTGTGGACTTTCGTCTATTTGAGCATGCATCTTGTAAGTTTTCAGAATCCACACAGGAGAAATGCTACTCATATCTGTCAATGCCCATGATACATAAAAGAATTCTGAGTGGTCTTGCTTTCAGAAATGAGCAAGGTTGGTACTGAGAAAGGCACAATCATTTGAGAACAAAGCATGGCTGAGCAATGGCACATGGTTGTGTAGGTGGGGCAGACCTTGTATTGCTTTGTCCAGTATGACCTCGAATGCACTCAATTTAGAGCTCCAAACAGGCTAATTATTAATATGATGTGGGAAAAACATCCTGCGTGTTTTACCACAAATAGTTGCCCTCCCGAGCTGTGAAGCCTATGGCAAATAAGAATTTCACAAAATAGTTAATAACAATAATAGTTAATAAAATAAGAGTTTTCATTTGAGTGATGTACAGTAACTTGTTTGTCTCTTGTTCCTCACAGTTGGTTGAACTGAACACTTTCTTCATCAAGCACATCTTCCTGTTTGAACCAGATCATCCTCTTTGCATCCTTCGTATTGTCCTTGTCTGTGTGATGGTCACTCCAGTGCTAAGGTAACCAGCTGTAAAAACAAATATGGACAGTGTACACATCTACTCCTCTGCCATTGTTAAAGACAGACTGGCACTTGGGTGCCGTAATTTCCACGTGCCTGGTGTCCATGCTAAAATCTCATGGGTTTGCATATTGTAACTTGAGAACCGGCCTTGTGTACTTCTGTACTTCTGTATATACATGTGATCCAGGGCATACAATTAGTGTTGGCCTTGTGGAAACACTGTTGCTAGGTAACAAAAGTGCCTTTTTTGCGTAAGTGTAGTCTTGAGGATCCCTGGACAACCACGCCCCTAGTGGGAGGCATGAAAACCAAATAAACTGCTACTCACAAAAGTTAAAATACCTTGTTCGTCATAGATACGTTAGATCTGTTATACAAACATGCCAGTTGTTTGCTTCTCATTCAGCTGAAAATTAATCACATGGTCCGCCTGGCTTACTGTAAGGAAGCCAGTTTGTGGTGGTACATATGCATCCTTTTTTATCTCTTGTGAGTAGCCAGCTATACAGTGCCTAGTTGGACTCTAATTGGAATTACTCTTCAAAGGTACTTTTCAGCTTTCTTATTTTCTTATTCTTCGCTTTCTTATTTTTGTCCGTTGGCATGAGGTGAGATTTTCTCGCCAGATTGGCAATCTAGATGGATGTTGGGTGAACTCAATTCATGGTTCTCTTTTGGCTACTAAAGCCATAAACCCTCACACAATTTCACGTAGTTTTACAATTTCGGACGAGCGTCCCAAAAAGGCAGATGTCAATAATTGTGGAAACTGCCAACATCGTCAGTAGAGCACTAGTATTGCAGTCCGTAGGTTGGAGGTTCTAATCCCACTCAGTCTCATTTTCTCTGTGTGACTGAATTTCTTTTCCACTGTTACATTATAGGCAGTATTATTCATACGTCACAGACTCAGCGTGTAAAAGAGTTGGCACCCAACTTTGGGTGTTCACGTGAGTATCTTCAATTTTTGTCTCTTCTTACATTTGTCACTCAGATCGCCTGATTTTGTTGCGTTTCTCTCATTTTAACCTCAACCTAGCTCAAAGCGGCAAAGACACAAGAGGCATAAAGGTCTGTGGGCCTGATTGATTCTATGGTGGCTCACGGGCTGAGACTTTGAAGCTATTTGGCCTTGATAATTGTTGTCCTACTGGATCTTGTTACATTGGACAGACGTCTCACTTTGGCAGTGGTTTTATGCTTATTCTGGAGTGGCTAGAGGCTAAATATTTTGGGGTTAAGGCTAAGTTTTTCCCCTTCAGTATTCTCAGCTTTTCCTAGCTTGAAAACAATCTTCAAAACTGCAGACGTCAAGGACCAACTGAATTGATGCAAGGCTTCATCATGTCAAGATAGAAAATGTCAACGATTATATTGTATGCCAGAAAAATTCCCCTCGAACCCTCGAAATACTAAGTTGTTTTGCTGCTACTTTTTCCATAATTTTTTTCTTCAGGGCTGTTACGTTCATTGAGACTCTGATTTGCATCAAGTGTGCCCTGGATTTGTTTGCACAGACCATAATTCGCAATGTCGTGCTCTGGCTACTTGCACAGGTAGGTGTGTCCAGGTGCTTGGGGGGGAGGGTCATTGTAATCATTGCTATCTTTGAGGACCGCCATGATCTAGCAGGTACTGCTTGAATTGACATTTTGGAACTGTACCCTCCAATTTCTGAAGATTTCCAGCACTTCTGCCGTGGTTGGCAAAATCGTCTGAAGAGTGACTTGAAAGCATGCTACTAATCAGAAAAATTTAAGCCATGTACAAATGGAAATCCGCTACATTTAATGTGAAGTGTAACTTATTCTTTATTTCATGTAACAATTATTTTGTTCTGTGAGTGTGTAGTTCTGGTGACCACTCAATGTTTCGAACAGTATATTCTGCTCGTCTTCAGGATTGTGACTGGTTGCCTGGCTCTGAGGATGCTGGTTTTAAACGCTGGTGCACTGGAGCAGCACAGCGTGCTTGATGGTGGATCCGCTGGACTGAAAGGCTAAGCAGCAACTCACTGCTCCAATCAACAGATGGTGCCCAAGACGCATCAGGGAGCAATCGAGATCTACAGGCACGACACAGTCCTCCAAGATGTTGGCTTCCACATCAGCAGCGTCTGGCACTCCATATTACCCTCCCAGACCAATGGGTCATCTATACCCACGGTCACTAATTCCTCCTTTCGCTACACCCAATGCCCCACTGCCACACATCAGTGAGCGCACTCAGTAGCCTTTCAGTCCAGCGGATCCACCATCAAGCAAGCAGTTCTATTCCAGTGCACCTTAGCATCCTCCTCAGCGCTTGAGACCAGCATCCTCAGAGCCAGGCAGCCAGTCACCCTCCTGATCATACTGTTTGGAACGTCCAGTGTCTACCATCGGTTCTTCTCAGAACCACACACTCATAAAAGAGATTCCTCCTTGTACACGGTGCAACCGCAAGCCTTACCTAATTTGGGAGTTCCACCATGCATAGCTTCAAGTCTTATCTAATTATTTGTTTCCAAGAAGCAAGGGGGAAAGATATTTTTATGAGAGTTTCCCTCTACAAATTCTGGTTTTTGCCTATGCACATGGAAACTACATAAATTGCATAAGAGCTTGTTAAGCACGGTGTTGTAGTTGACCATCACAAGACCAGACATGAGGAGCTGGGTGAACAATGACAAAGGAATGCTTTTGTTGCAGTTCATTTGAATAGCTTGCAATTTGGATTCAGACTGGAGGCTGGTCTTTTAGGTTTTGTGAAAGTCTTTATTGGTCTCAACGTCAGCACTGGTTAAGCAGCATTGTTTATGCAGCACTGAATGATTTAAAATCAGTGACAGACAAAAATCAAAATGTCTAAAAATTCAAGCCTTTGTTCTACATATTCTTTAGTGCTCTTTGTCAGTTTAGTCATGCAGGAGTTTGCTCTAACTTGAGTCGTTTCTTACAATGCGAGTCGCCCATTCTAAGCAAAGAACATTGCCTCTTCCCGTGACAGATGTTGTTGACAGTTGTCTGCCTTTACGGCATTGTGCTGCAGACCAGGAAGGCTGGGAAACAGGTAAGTGTGCTTTATCGACAGTTAACACAAATATCAACGCTACATGTTGATTACTAGGAAGAATTTCTGAGTGCATACAAGTTCAAATCCATTTGCAGTTGTGAACTGATTTGACATGGTGAGTCTAAGGTATTAATTTCTACAATTTTTTGTTTTAGACTGCATTGCAAAGAGAAGACTGAGCTCTTTTTTGATGTAACAGTTGGTTTGAAATTCAGATGAAATTGAACATTAACCCTAACCCCTTAGGGACATTTGAAATCCTGCATTACCTTGTTGGGTTAATAAAAGTGAAGAATGTTTGGTTTCTGTTGATTCACGTAGTGGAAGAGCCTTTTGTTGGCACTGAACTCAAAAGTGCCTCTGGAGACTTGTGACTCATTATGTTGGATCACACAAATGGTCCGGGATGATGCAGTCAATTCCAAATCTTGAAACGTTGAAAATTTTATTTTACTCAGAGAGCACAATGTGAACATATTGATAATAACGGCTGGATTCGAACCTCCTAACCACTAGGCCACATGCCCCACACTACAAAACTACTTCATTTACAGAAACTTTGAAGGACGTTTAATTTGTACAACAGTGTCAACAACTGGTTTATATCTAGGATGGAAAGCTGTGAAGATGTCCTCCTGAGAAACTTTGCTTAGTTGTGTCTTTTCCTGTAACAGGATGCGAACAGGACCCGATACACCAAAAAGTGGGTGGAGAATTCGTATGTGGAGGAGGTGAACGGAGTCTCAGGGGGCTTGGGTCAAACACACCCCTCCTCTCCCCATCGCTACAATACTAGACGTCGTGGAATGGCTGGGGGTGACATAAACTGAAATAAACCTCTGAAACTAGGCCAGCACCTCTTAGATTCACAGTACAAGACTGATGTCTTGGATCATAAGCTGTAAAAAATCATTTCACTCTCTAGTGTTCCAGAAATATGTACAAAAATTGAGACACCGCCGCTTGTACATTCAAAATCCAAGAGAAACCTACAAGAATATAGTGTGCCTTTTGGCAATAAGATTTTGTATGGTGACTTTTTATAACTGTTCCGAAGTCCATTTTTGCGAATTTGTCGACCATGTTGGGCATTCTCTTGGCCTAAGAAATATGCTTGTTCATTTCTTTGTGTTTTGTGGAGTGGTTTAATCAGGTGGTGGAACGTAAGTTTTTTGGCACTACTAAAAATTCGAAAGAGCTTGTTTGTGATGTGAATTATTTCAACCTTCTCAGGACAAATGACTCCAAAGTGGTAAGTTTTCAAATTCCACAATGTGGCCAGTTTTGTTTCTGAATTCCTGCAATCAGGGACCAACTTGTGCAGATCTGGCAATTTCAATAGGAAGTGCGTGTCAGTTCTAGGATGATTAAGATGTGTTAGATTTACCCAGAGTCAGTGTTTTACCATTGACAGATGAGTAGATGAATAGTTATCTGGAACATTCCATGCCAACCATGAACCTTAATTAATCCCTGGGATGTCCAACTACTTTACCTGTGTGCCAGTTTCCATTGACATATCACATTTTATCAGTGCAATGCGTGATCTTCCTTGGGCTTCCTTCCAAGGCTCTTAGTGATGGGTATATGAACCTGGACATGTGTCATCAAAACTGTAAACGTTTGCTTATGTAGTCTAGCATTCTGTCTAGTCATTGGTGCTAGCTTACCCATTGGCTCTGTTCAGGAACTGAAGAGGGCATTATGTGCGACCATATTTGGTCACATTGCAAACAATTTGTGAAATCTTTGGCCAGTGTACTGTGGAAACTTCATGTTAGACCAAAGGGAGGGGATCTGCTGCGGCGCTTTGGTTCTAACAGTGCAAAGTGAGTGTGATTGATTTTCGTTAGAATGTGCACAAATGCATGGCACTGATGTGCCTGTTAATAACAGTGTATTCTGCTCATTACTGTTTAGGTGCTACCACTCTGGGCTCAAATTACTTGGAGAAATCCAGATTTAAGCCGAGAGAAAAAGTGCAAGTCAGAATGTAATCTGCTTTGACTAGCTCACATTGAGTTCATTAAATGAGTTATTGTTCATTTATATTTTTTGGTTGTTACCTCGAGTACAGGCTGCTAAAAAAGTGGGTTGGTGATGCGATTTGTAAAATGGCAACGAATTATGAACAGATGGATGAGAAAGTCAATCATTTAAGTGTATATATTTAATTATATCTGTGGATGGTATTCCACATGACTGCTAAATGGCAGACAAAAAGCTGGTGATGTCTGGTAATTTATTTGGTCCAATTTGACCCTTTTTCCAGATGACATTGTGTAGTGGATCATAACCAATCATATTTGGTTATTAGTGTTTCAATGTTTATTCATTAGTTACTGGTGCTTTGGTCTTTGAAAACATGCTAGGTTGTTTGCTCTTTATGTGCTATTCTGATGACTGTATACGCGATTCTTCTTTACTGGCAGTAAAAGTCTGTATGCTTGGTGCAAAAAGGTTTGCTTCTTGAAATAGGAAAGAGAAATTTTTTTTTTCTTAAATCATGTCTGAAAGAAATTTTTGTATTAAATATTTGCATTGTAGGTGTGTTAAGCATTCTTATTTACCACATTAATTTCACATTTTTTGTTTCAAACCTCTCAAAATCCCTGGAGTTTTGATGATGAGGTCTACACGCATTCATTTCAAACTTCACAAAGCTGGTGTCATGTGATGTATACTTCTGCAGTCCAAAATACGAAAAGTTTCACAAATGCTGTGCTCTGTACAGTTTTGCCTTTGTAGATTATGTGTCCCGTACTTTGTATCTGGTTTTCAATACCGCCATCGACTTCTTACTATAAAGTTTTGTCTTTCATGTATATGGTAATAAAGAATCGTTTAGGGATCATTTAAGGTTTCCTCTCTGAGTTATTTCAGGGTTATTGCCCTTTTCTTTCCCCTGAGTGAAGATGTTTATTGTCTTCGTTCAATCCTTTTTCTTCATCAGTAAAATGATATGGTAGATGTGTAACAGTACTGAAAAAAGATGCTGTTATTAAGAAGTATTGATGTATTGGTGTTTTGAATATTTCACTTAGATCTGTGTCGTTTTGAATAACCCTAACCCCAAGGGTGTATGTAAATCATATTGAAATCGGAGGATTTTGGACAGTTAGGGTTAATATTAAATTAATCTGGTTATGAAACTGAAATAGTACATGGGCTCGATGTGTTCCTGTTGCGGGCCACATCCAAGCTTTTTCTTATGCAATGAGGTGGAAACAGTCGTGATTATTTGAACCAACCTGTGTCTACTCGTTCGCTTCTTGATCATGCCTATTTCAACTCACCCCCTCTAACCCTGTCAACCCCTCCTCGTCCCTGTGCAAACCCAACCCACCCGCTGCAATTTTCCCATCATAAGTCTGTTATCAACTCAGCCTCCAAAGCCCACCCAAAAGCCAATCTACGAGCCATCAATATCTCATCATCTGCTTTAGTTTAAAAGTAAACTGTATGTTTACGTTATGTAGTTATTTTCGATTTGTGGACCAGGGTGAAAATTCAGGAAACAAGACCAAAATTTTATGTAAATCTTATAAAATGTTCGGTTTGAAATGTACGTATTGTATTAAATACATAGGAGACAGGATATTCTTTACTTTTCGGCAAAACTCTTGTTTGATAAATCTGTAGTCATTCCATAATAGTGCTTTGTCACTGTGCCAATTTACAGAGGAATTCATGATAGTGCTGCTGTTTTGGACTCTCACTGTTCCTTGTTACTTTAATTAATCCTGCCTGATAAAAGGGTGAGATTTCTCAGCTTTTTAGCTGATTTCAGCTTTTTTGTTTTGGATTCAATGTTTTTCCCTCACTAGCTATGTGCAAAATTATAGGAGATCGTCACAGTTCAGTTTTATGCCTTTTTTCAGCTGTTTTCAGCTATTTCTATCATTGGTCAATCTCACCCATGTAAGACCCGCTTTGTAATTATGATTTACACTTCTTTTGACCTTTTCTGAGAATCATTAGATTGAAGTTTTTGTTTGACAGCAAAGGAAACTTTGCTCGAAGTGGACGTAACTTCATTTTACGGATGATGAACTTTATCAAAGGATCCCCCCAAAAAACCGTGACGAATGCATCTTTAAAGGTACACTCTCTGTGTAAAGAAAAATATTAATTTAATTGACTTATGGCATCGCTGATATTGGTGAAGCCGAGTTGATTCGAGATGAATGATTTATAAATGTGTTGTAGACGTCAAATAAACGTTATTGTCAATGAAACAAGGAAAGCGTATTGTTCGGTACGTCAAGCTTGTAACGTATCTATACACCCGGACATTCTTTTAATTTATGAGGAGATATGGTTGCAGAAATTGTTTACAAATTAGTGCTGTGTAAATCAACATGCATCATCTGTTTGAGCATCATCATATTTCATCCTGTTGTGCCATCATTTCATAGGACAGGTCAAATTGTGCTACATTTTCTGATAATTTGAAGCAAGATATGGACGGAGAGAACACCCCCCGCCTTTGCGTTGGCCATTGTTTGATTGGAATCTCGGGAATTCTTTATAGACTTCTGGGGGGATGTGTCAGGTAACAATTGTCCAGAGTGTGTATAGGGATAGGACAGGTAAGGGGGGTACCCTCCGTCCGATATCTTGCCTGGTATACTTTCTGACCTTGTGCTATTCCTATCCCTTACAAATAGTCATCTTGTGCCATACATTTTACCCTACACCTCATTCCTATTCATATCAATATGACCATAATTATTATGCTTATGCATATTTATGTGACCTTTTGCTATTTTGTAGCAAAGGTCAAATTGTGCCAGACAGAAGCAAGGAAGGAAATTAATAACGACAGCTAAACTTTAGTAACGATACGCAACACAGATATTACGTATTCTCCTGTAGCTGTCATGGCCTTTCCTTTATCAAATTGCTTCTTTGCTGAAGTCTCATTAATGGAGCGTGACGGACAGATGAAGTGTAATAGGCCACTTACATTTCCCCCCTGTTAGCACTCTTGGACAAATTCATGTCCTTGAGGGGTTTAGCGTCGCGTGCTCCTCGGAAGAGAACGATTTCTGTCTGCCATTGATTTCCCTCCCAATTGTGTGGATTTGATTGACAGCAACGACCTGGACGTGAACGGACGTTGCGGAATGCAAGGAGGGAGGAGAAAAGGTCAGGTATCGGGGGACTAGCTCTGCGTAGAATGAAGATTGTGTACTTGTCGTGTTGCACCCAACCATGACCCAACGCAGTCTGCAACTTCAGCGGCTAACCCAGGCGTGCTTCTGGGGTTTCCAGCCTGAGGGGTAGTACCAAGTCATTGGCTACTGTGACATTTTGTGGCAAGGCGTGGAGGTTGCTACCTGGCCTTAAAAATAAGGACAAAAGATAAAAAGATCGTATTTGTTACTTTCATTAATCATAGAGGAATATTCCTCCATGCATTTACAGCGTAAGAAAACAAAAATTTACCGCAGCATATGCTTCAGGCAACACCTGCAAGTTTCATGTCGGACATGAAATCAGACTGAACCAGTTTTTATTACAGTTTTGTTGAAAATAGTAAGACAGTCCTCAAACCTACAATTTCAGTAATGCAGTCTTTTTGAAAAGCTCATCTTAATTTTAAAAAAAAAACAACACATTTGCTCTTGTTTCTCCCCTCTTTCATTTCTTCAAATTTGTTCAGGCAATGACCTTTATAAAGAAAATGAATGTTCCACATTCATGTAGAAAATCATTTTATTTGGCAAAAAGGTTCTGTTGGTGAACGAATGTTCCAAAAATATTTAATCTGTCAACTCATGAAATAAGTCTCACCATTGCATCAAGTTCCAGCTGACTATAAAGCTGTTAACCGCGGCATTCTTGTGGCAAAATGGGAAACTGCTGACACACAATACCCAATTTGATTTTACTCTAGCGGACATTCTAATTAAATTTAGCAATCAATATCTAAGTCCTTCGTTACAATTCCTGGTTCACACTTCACACACCATAAATAGTCCTCTCGTCCTTGGTGGGCAAAGGTTACCTGGCAACGCACAGAAATGAGCTGATAATTAAGCCAATATGTTATGTGTTACTAACCAGTTACTTAATTAAAGATTTTGTCATCTTGCTGCAAGACGTGTATCTATTGCGGTCTACGTTCGAACGTGACATATCTTCTGATAAAATTAATTGGTGGATTGGCGGTAACTGTTGTTGTGCACAGTTATAATGTATCTGGGGATAAACACGAGTAGAACACCCTGCCGTTAACACCTATGCCCCGATGAGAAGCAACATGCGTCCTTCACTTGTTACCGTTGCTATTTTGGCAAGTTGTTTTGTCCCCCAAGTCACAGCTCGATGTCGATCATTGGGACCCCACTGTCCAGCAGGGTGGCATCTTTGGGGTGGCTCTTGCTACTTGTTGACAGAGTCCACCTTTGAGTGGTCCAGAGCTCGAGATGAGTGCAACAAGTTGGGTGGCATTCTGGCCGTGCCTCGCTCCTTGGAAGAGAACAATTTTATCCAGGCGTTGAAGCCAGGAGAAGGGGAGATTTGGATCGACTGCAATGACCTGGCCATCGAGGGGACTTGGGAGTGTAATGAAGGGGGAGTGGAGGTCAGCTACAGGAATTGGGAGCCAGGACAGCCTAATGCACGCACTGGTGGGTCTGATTGTGCTGTTATTCGTAACTACGCTTGGCATGATTACGGATGTACAAGTAATTTCAACGCAGTCTGCAGGTACTGATCTGACTTAATGGGACACAATCAACATATGAATACTGACTTCATTGGCCACTTATTCATCTACAGATATATGCCTTATTACAGGCTCTCATTTTGTGAGTTTGGAATGATGTGTAGGCCCCCTATGACAAACTGTTCCGATTTTCAATTGCAGTTCAAAAATATGTAGGGATTTGCCACATATGGGTCTCCTTGGCTCCCTCATAAATGTTCAAAGTCTAAGTACGCTTCTTTAAATAATGCATATAGTTCTGGTTTCTGATTAATCCCCCATTACAATATGGCTCTTTATTGTACAGGTAATTATTGACATTGTTAGGGTTGATTTTGGAGCATTTTTTATCGCACCTGTAACCGAACTCAGTCAATCTTCATTTGAATGCCATGAATATTTAATTATGCATAGAACTGAGTGTATTCGTAATTTTGTGACACATAAGTTTCGGTTTTTCCTTCCTGCTCGTGAGACATCCCTCTGAAAACAAGCTAGCTTTCTCACGCTCAAATATAATAATTGGGTAGTTGGTAGCGAAGCCGCATCAGTGTACGGGTGAGTGAATGATCCCGTCTGTAAATCATTGTAAACGTGCATTTGGAGGGAGTCAAATTTCAATAATTTCTGTCCAGAAGTTTTGTGTACAACTTTTATGTAGACATGTACGTGCTTATGTGCCTGCACGTCAGTACATTATGCGTGCCCGGCCATGTCTTGTCGATCGACGCCTTGAATTTGACTTTATGAAGTTGTACAGCATTATTTTTGTCCTGTATTGTATTGCAAGGTGTTTTTGTTATGTAAGTTGTTTACAGTATTCCGTGATTTTGGGAGGAGATCATTGTTGAGTCGTGGAATAGCCATGATGATCCAAGCTCAGTCTCCAGTCCATCCGTTATGGCAGAGTACATACTCTGAAAACGATGGAGGCTCGGTCCTCCGTCTCCTTTGGGTGCGCTGGTACCTGTCGTTTCACTACACATAGTATTAAGACAGAACATAAATCCAGTTTTGGAACTCGGGCAAATGCTCTTGCTCCACTTTGAAAAGTATCAAATGAAAAATAGATATTTGCACTACGGGCGATTCACAATAGTGACCCTCCAAGAGTTTCCTATATTTATTACCACAGAATGTGAATGGCTGATTTAGGGGTTGTTCTCAAAGCATATTAGATGTATTGTACTGAGAATGGACGCATTGTCTTAAGCACACATGCAGGTACTTTATACCTGCACGACATTTATATAATTGCATTTTAATCAATATCATATCATTAAGGGTACACTATTTTTTTCAGTTTACAAATGCATAATTTGGTGAAATCACTGGTTGACGTAAAATAAGAAATGCCTGTAAAGTCATTCCACTTCAATGTTTGTGCCAAGGTATTTGGTTCTGGGATTTTTTTACACTGATCTTATTTTGAAGGTAAAGAATGTTTCGAAACGAGGCCAGCAGAATTTTCTGTTAGTTAAGATAGATTCCTTCTGTGTAATATAATGGATAATCAATTATATGACGAGAAGCAGTTTGGACAAGGAAGTCGTCACGATTAAAATCTGATTAATTGGGTTTCACGATGCAAAAGTTTCAACTGAAGCACCCACCAAACCACAAACCTGCCACTTCCTGCCCCACCCAAACCCAACTCACCCTTCCCAACCAAATTCAATCAACCAAACCCTCAACTCACTCCATTCCCATCCAACCTACAGCTGACCCCACCCCCAACAAATAACCAGTAATTTAACCGCCATCTATCCATTTCCTCAATCTATTCCGCCCACTAAACACTCCACGCCCTAGAGAGGGGTCTTTAAATACTGTTGTGTACCTTCAAGTAGAACTATCTTCACAAGACTTGCCTAACAAGCCCATCTCCATTGACCTAATTAGGTTCTCCACCCATCCCCTAAAAAAACAGTTAAGAAACTTCTGTCACCCCCCGAAGATCCTTTTAACCTTAAGGCCATATGGAATCGAAGAATACGCAGAAACCATGGCCTTATTCTGAACCACTGGATTTGCCAAGAGTGTGAGGATTAGAAGACTTTCATTGGTCCAGTCATCAAAATATAGGACCGTAAAGGTTAGGCCAAGCAATAAAAATGCCTTCTTTTAAAATGTTGAAAATTATTTTGCTTCAGATAAATTTAGAGTTTTAAGTTCTAGGATTTTTTTACCTGGAGGGGAGTGCCAAATTACTGAAATTGGAAGGGGATATATTACTTAAGGACTTCGTCAAAAATCTGGTGTTTTTCTTGGTATCTCCGTCAACCTTGGAATTAGAAGCAATAGACGTTCAGAGACAGCATTTTCTGTCGAGATCTTGCTGTGCATTGCATACCGATGAAATAATGCAGAAGTGTGTACCCATATTGAATTTGAAATTTAAATCTGTTGGCCAGATTTAAAACTTTGTGGCCACGTTTCAAAAATGGCTAGAGACAAACAAAACTTGGTGGGTCGCCGAGCTACCTCAGGTCTTTGGAGAACACAGAAATTACCAGCATCCTTCAGCCCTTAGTGGGCAACACACCTCATTGTATTTCCAACTCCACCCAGTTCGTCGACCTTACCAGGAAGCTCTCTCTAAAACCGACCGACATCACGGTGAGCTTTGATGCGGTCTCACTCTTACCAATGTCCCTACTGAAGATGCCTGACACCTAGCCAAGCAACGACTCGATTCCAGCCTCTCCGAAAGTATATCCCTGGCGGGCACCAAAGTCGCCAATCTCACCTGCCTATGTGTATCCTCAAACTACTTCCAGATCCAAGGCAATTTCTTCGAGCAAACGGCTGGAATCTCCATGATATCTCTTATATCCCCGGTGCTAGCCGACATCTTTATGCAAAAATTTGAGACATCCTCACTTCTCACTGCATACTACAAGCTCAGCATTTAGTTAAGATAAGTTGATGGCACGGTCTAGACCTCCAAGAATTCCTGAACTACCTCAACAACCAGCACCAAACTATCAAGTTCACTATGGAGCAAACCCACCCATATTGACAGGCACTTCCACAGTCAAACACATAAATTCATCTTGAGAAAATAATTTATTATCTATTTACAGTCCCAAGGTTCTCTCATTCATAGTTTTGTACAATATTCCTCAAATGTGGATATTCATAAAAAGCTAAATAGTGCCAC